TTATACATAAATTATCAATTTTAGAATTTTACAAATGTATTGATATTGTATCTGTTTACAAAATAATACTATTCATTGTAGACTGTTTTGAGTAAAGCAGAAAAAAATGACCCTATCTCCTAAGAGTAATCACTATGAGCAGCACTTTTTATGTACCTCTAGATGAGCTTAAAAAAAAAGATTTTACTCTCCATAATTCTTGATAGTTTTAAATCATCATTTTGTATTTACTGGATCATGAATTAAATGGTCCACATCACTTAATTCACTTAATCCTCATAACAGTCTTATGAGGAAAGCACTGTTATTATCTCTACTTTAGAGATGATCAGGCTAAGGCACAAATATCAGATAACCTGCACAAGCTCCCGTAGCTAGTAAGGAGGGTACTGGGATCCAAACCAATAGTCTGACTCAAGAACCCTGCTCTTAACTACTATTATGCCCTGTTGGTTATAACCCCTATAATCCAGTGGACAGCTGTTAAGAAATATAGTTATTGACTGAATTATATTGAAATAAGAAATAAAAACACTTAATAGTAAAATATACTGCTTTTTTATAGCCAAGATCATGTTTTACAGTTTTGATATTTATAACAATAATGTAATCATTCATAATTTTAAATACCTTTTGGATTTTCTACATAAGACATTAATTAATGTGAAGACATGTAATTCATAGCATGCATCAGACAGGATGGGTTAGATTATTCTATATTAACAAAATATCCTCCAACTCTAACTGGTCTATAGTGATAAGTGCTAGCTGTTATTTTGGTTAATATTATTTATGCAAAGTAAGTAGCATAGTGCCTAGCAAATATAGGCAAAGTAAATGATAATCATCATGAAATCAATAAATTTTATGTTTTCATTATTTTTTAATAGTAGTAAACTTACCATATAATCCTAAATAGTTCCTAAAATAATATGCAGTAATTCTGTGACTACATGATAATTCTGTGACTCATCAACACACTGGGAAAATAAACTGTGAATGATTTAGCTAAGAGTTGTGCACAGCTGGCTGATAGGTTATACTCAGAGATATATACATTCTGTCACTGTCATCATGAAATAAACACTCCATGGTTAAAGTTATCTTAATTGCTACATTCAGGACTTACAGAAAATTCATTGATAAATTTGCAGGATAGTTGGATGTGTTTGGAAGATTCCTTTAAATTCTTTAAGCTTTGATTTCTTCACTAGTGAGTTGAGGATCATAAAGCTATACTGCCTATCTCATAAAACCAGTTAGGATTACGTATATATTATGTATTTTTATTTTTAATATGTTTTTTAGTTTTACATACATATATATGTGTAAGCATCAAAAGCGTGTAACAGACTATAAAATGATACAATGTAATTTCTTTTATAGAGATCAAGATTCCTTCTAAGAATTCTAAGTCTTTATGAGAAGGATTAGTTATGTTCACTGGAGTCTGTATAAGAATCCAAAATGTTTATATAGCTTAAGGAGCAAAGTAAACTGTTATCAGAAAAGCTCAGTGTGCTTGGATAGATTATTCATGACTAAGAATAACCTGTTACTACTTCTAATATGTCCAGAAACAGGAGGATATGTTGGCATTAAATTCATAAGAGATTAATGCGAACTCTCTGTCATATTCTTTTGAATAATGTACAGTATTCATCTTTGGGTAAGAAGTATTTGAAACCGAAGAAAAAAACCAAATGTAAGTTAAAACTAAATCTTATCAAGAGGGTTGATGATTAATAGAACCCCCAGGGCCTAACATTATTTCTGACAGATATTTGGTGTTCAGTATAGATTTGTTGAATAAATAATAAGATGTGACTTTTAAATCATGATTTTGTTCTTTGGCTCTAAGAAATTTCCTAAAATTATTCTTTTAAAAAGGTTGCCCTATTGAAAAAGTGGTTGAAATAAGTGCGTAATGTTTTTGGGTGACCCGTATTTGAGTTTTGGTGTATATTTTCAAAAACTTCATATTACTCCACAGTTACACATACTTTTCTTCTTTAAACTGAGTCAGAGTAATCTGTTACCCTATTTCCTTTTGTCAGTCATCCAGTAAGATTCCACTAATGTGTTAAAGTCTCTTTATGTGATTTTCCTTAATTTATGAAGTTAATGATCCTTGAAATCACACAATTGCTTCAACTATTCAAAACTATAGTCAGTATTTTATATTTGTACCATTACTTACGTGGCATACATTTCTAGATAGTGCAAACAGCCTCAAGTACAAATGCTGCAGATACTAGATAGGTGGGTATGGGTAGATACTCCTTTTTGTTATTCTTATGGGTCCATCAAGATAGTGTGCCAAGTATAACTACATGTATCCATTTAATAAAATGCATTGAAAAGGAGTTTTGCAGGAGGAATTTGAATCTCTCCAAATGAAATAGGATCTTTAGGGCCTTGCCAAGCATAGTATTAAAAATAATGATTATGGGATTTAACTTTTACATAACCTATCTAAAACCTAATTTTTATAATAAAATCAAAGCTATTAATTCATTTATGTTTTATAAAAGCTTTTTTATATTGCTGGATAGGATTTTTTTTTCTTTTTGCCTAATTGCACTAAATATGTGTTATTTAACAAAAAGGGAAAACTGGCAGTAGAAGCAATTCTAAATAATCTTCTACTAAGATACTCTCCTAGGGCAGCAGTACCATTAAGCATTGGAAAAATCAGCTTCATATTTAATTATGGCTAAACTGGGGTTTTTTAAATTGTTAATATAACTTATCTAATGTAATGATTCCATTTTCTTTTTCAAGATGCTTCATTGGCCTGGTAGAGAATTAAGAGAATGCTCTGCTGATCTATTCTAACCCCTCACATTACCAATGAGGACACAGAGCTCCAGAGAAGAGATTCTAAAAGTAGTTGATAGGCAGCAAAGCCAAGAACACAAAGTGCTGTGTTCTTTGAAGCAGTGTGTACACATGGAGCAGTTTTAACCTTGCAGATTTGTCATGTGTTTTTTCTTGGAGTAGTTACAGTAATTTTTAACCTGAAAAATCAACTAGAAATATTTTTTATTCCAAGAAGTCAATCTACCGTATTAAGGGTTTCTTCTTCATTCCCCTTGTTTGCCCACATATTTTGACAGTAGTAACAACTAACATTTGTATAGAAGTGCTCAATTTTAGAAAATAGTTTTATATTTTATATCTCACTTGACTCTCGCAACAACATTGTCAGTAAGAAAATACTATTTTCACCCTATAGATGAGGAAATGGAAGCTGAAGGAAATTTAATAAGTTGTGCAAGTCATTTACATAGCTGGCAGAACCAGACTGGAACACAGGCCTTCCAACTGCGCCTTTGTTCTTTCCAGAGCTATATTGTTGGGAGTTGCTAAAAGTTTCTTAAGGATTTTTTTTTAAGTCAGCTTATGGTCATGAGAGGTTTCTGGTCAGCCGTTTTGTTACTTGAATAACAGTGCTTTAAATTAATAATGGCCACTGTATATTGATTGAATACCTACCATGGGCCAGGCGATGGTGATAGATCTTATGATGCCTGACTCTTGCTCTCAGAGCCTGTGAGATACTGGTGGTATCTCCACTTTAGAAGGGAACTTGGGTTGTTTATCCAATAGGTAATTAAAACCCTGGATTAAAACTCCGATCTGTTTGCTTCACAAGCTGCAACTTGTCAGCTGTACCCAAGATTCAGTTACTGTAAATGAGAACGTATGCATTCATGTAGAGCAATATTACTCTTAATGTGCTACTTCTGAATTACATACACAGATATTCACATAGATATGTATCTAGACCTGCATTTATTGACCTGATAACTGAGAAAATAACTACTATTGGTTCAGAAGCTCATGAAATTAAAAAAGAGGATAAATCAATAGCTGTATATACCAGTGTTGTAATTGCAAGATGACAGCATCAGTATTTTCTTCCTTGTAATAATGATAAGTAGTAATGGAGACTTTTTTATTGAGATATAATAGACAAGTAACAATTATATTACTTTCAGGTGTCCAGCAGATACTTTTAACAAAATGTAATCTATCTGACCCACCCACCTTAAATGGAGATATTTAGGAAGAGTGTTCAAGTTAATGATACCATACTGTCTTCTGAAACTTGATCTTCTGTAATTACCAGTTAGGTTTAGTATAACTTCTACTTAAATATGATTTTATTGTTTTTGTTTTTTAGTATTTTTGCATTTTTTAATTTTTTTAAACAAGAATCTTTGAAGTTACAACTACCAAAACTGTAGAAGACTTCTCTTTGGGCCCCTATTTTTATACAAAATTATTTTCAAGGATCATTTTCACTGAGGTGATTTTTATTTATCACAGGTATTCAGAAAGATACCAGCTGTGTGAGCTATGAGTTGGCCAAGCCTTCATGCAAAGACAGAGGAAAGAACTGTACAGACTCCTGTGAGCTGAGTTATCCATTGGCTCCATACTTCCCTTCAGGAGTAAAATGGGGCTTCCAACCTCCCTGAGTTTTAATGTGCAGAGAAACCAGAGGGATTCACAAAGTGGAAATTTACTTAAGTTTTGAAGTTCTACCTAGCTCCTGAGACCAGGCCCTCATGGCTTCCAGTGGGGCATTCTGGTGTCATCCTTTGTTTCAGCTGGAGGTCTTGCCCCAAACAAGAAGGTCTAGGCAATCGGGCATTTGATAAGAATGTAAGAGTCTCATGGAGGTTTAAAGTATAAAGTTGAATTTCTAAGCAAGTCAGAAGGATATATGTAATTCACATGCCATAGTTTTATACTGTTAACATATCTTCAAGAGAAGTTTGTTGTTGTTGTTTTGTTTTTTTGCTTTTGCTTTGGTTTTGGGGTTTGTTTTTTAGGGTTTTTTTTTTTCTTCAAGAGAAGTTTAAAAGGCAGCATGGACTGGACTTGGCTTCTAATCAAGAAGACACAGTTATCAAATAATGTCCTCTGTTGCATCATTTTGGCTATCACATATTCCACTTTGACAATTTATTCTTGTCTTTTTCATCTAGGTCGAACAGGAAGGTACACTCTTATAGAAAAATGGAGAGATACTGAAAGACACTTAGCACCTCATGAAAATCCTATCATATCCTTAAACAAATGGGGGCAGTATGCTAGTGATGTACAGCTAATTTTACGTCGGACGGGGCCATCTCTTAGTGAGCGACCCACTTCAGACAGTGTGGCTCGAATTCCGGAGAGAACTTTATATAGGCAGAGTTTGCCCCCACTGGCTAAACTGAGGCCTCAGATTGACAAATCAATCAAAAGGAGAGAACCTAAAAGGAAATCATTAACATTTACAGGAGGTGCCAAAGGATTAATGGACATTTTTGGGAAGGGTAAAGAAACTGAATTTAAACAAAAGGTGCTGAACAACTGCAAGACAACAGCAGATGAATTAAAGAAGCTGATCCGGTTGCAGACAGAGAAGCTTCAATCCATTGAGAAAGAGCTAGAATCAAATGAAATTGAAATACAATTTTGGGAGCAAAAATATAATTCTAACCTTGAAGAGGAAATTGTCCGCCTGGAGCAAAAGATCAAAAGAAATGATGTCGAAATTGAAGAGGAAGAATTTTGGGAAAATGAATTGCAGATTGAACAGGAAAATGAAAAACAGCTGAAGGATCAACTTCAAGAAATAAGACAGAAAATAACAGAATGTGAGAGCAAATTAAAGGACTATTTGGCCCAGATCCAGACTATGGAAAGTGGTCTTGAAGCAGAAAAATTACAACGGGAAGTTCAGGAGGCACAAGTCAATGAAGAAGAGGTTAAAGGAAAGATTGGTAAGGTCAAGGGAGAAATTGACATTCAAGGCCAACAGAGTCTGAGGTTAGAAAATGGCATTAAAGCTGTAGAAAGATCTCTTGGACAAGCCACCAAACGATTACAGGTAAGAACATTTCTATAGAAAGGTTTCATCTGTTTAAAAGAATTAATATATTCTTGGCATTTTCTTGAATATTGTCCATTTTCTCTTACATTTAAAGTTAAAAACGGGGGTGCCTGGGTGGCTCAGTGGGTTAAAGCCTCTGCCTTATGCTTAGGTCATGATCCCAGGGTCCTGGGATCGAGCCCCGCCTCGGGCTCTTTGCTCAGTGGGGAGCCTGCTTCCTCCTCTCTCTCTGCCTGCCTCTCTGCCTACTTGGGATCCTGTCAAAAAAATTAAAAAGTTAGAAACCTACTTTGGTGTATAAGTTTCATAGAATTTCTGTGACTTATGACAAAGCTAAGATGTGAGACCAAAACAAAGAGGAACGCTAAAGCCACAACTGATTCTTGCTCCACAGAAAGAGGTCTCTTACTCTGGCCGTTGTAACATTAGGTAATGGGATACAGAGAATAGAATCTCAGAGCTGGAATGAACACTAATGATGAGATAATGAATCTGACCTTCTCTCATTGTAGAGATAAGGAAACCAAAGCCAAAAGAGATTACTGCAGATTGGTTTACCAAGGATTGTGTGGCTAGTTGACTGCTTATCTATTACTTCTCCATTGTGGTTCACCCCATCTTGCCCAAAATGTAAATAGACCCCTTCTCTTCTCCATATTACTTACTTTCCTAAGGAGAGGGGCACAAAAGTTCCTCTCTGATTTTCCCCTCTCTGGTTCACATACAAGAACATTTATATTTTGCCATTAGATCCTGATCACTCAACTTCTATTTCTCAGATACCCATTCTTGAAAATATGGTGATGTTAGGGGAGTTGCAAAGAGGATATTTAATATACTGCATATAAATAATATTTAACATACTAAATATTAATATTAAATAAATTTTAAGATATTAAATTTAAATTTCTGGGTTTGGTTACATTTGGCCACATCTCAAGTGTTCATTGGTAGTTGCTGTATTGGTCAGTGCTGCTTAGAGGCTTGCTCTTCAAAGCATGTAGTCAGGGCACGCTTGTTAAAAATTCAGAATCTCTGTTGTGAAAGTATCTCCAGATAGTACCAGTGCACGTGGAAGCTTAAGCAGAGCTACTTTAGAATGTGAACAGTTCTACAAGCAGAGAAAGCTGAGGTTTCAAGAACTTACATGATTTCTATTCTGTGCCACTAACAAGAGTCAAGAGGTAAAATTACCACCAAAATTTTGAAAATCAAGAATTTCTCATTCCGTAAAAGTAGAAGGTTATTAACCTCTGATTTTTCAGTATTATACTATTTGGATTCATTCTGACCTTTAAAAAGGATACAGTTGAAGTTGTGTTGCCTTTGATATTATTTACAGGAAACACTAATTTATGATAGTCATTGCTAGTAATTCTCGTTGGGAAGTATCTCATAATCAAACTAACATATCTCCAGTGCCCCCTACACTCAAAGTAAGTGGAGGAAACAACCACTCACTTCTGGTATCTCTTCCTACCCCTACCAGTCTTCAGACACACTCAGCCTAGGTGAGGCCTTGCCACTTTTTCCTCTAGTGCAGTAAAGGAGAAAAAGAACATCCATTCAAATCACGGGATGCCTCTCTGTGCTTTTTGAGCTTTCTAGCTGTCCAGACTTGATATCCTTTCTTTAAGGATCTTCAGTTCTCATACCTGTCTTTGCCAAGGACTTAAGAACCCCACATCGAAAATCTTATGGGAATCTTGCTTTCCTCATGCTCTAATATGTATCTCAATGATGAATCCCATGAAAAGTTAAACAGTTTAAAAAACAAAAACTTCTCTGAATCTCATGGACCAAATGACTATTAATTTTTGCAGTCATCTATGAAGTCATTAAGGAAATTTAATTGTGAACACTTACAGCAAGATTGCCATAAATATTGGGATGGACGAAAACTAGTATTTTACTGATTAAAGTTTACAGACATAGATTTATTTCATCAGATGCATAGTGCATTCCTAATAGAGGAAAGCATCACCTTAAAGAGGACAGACTAAAGACCCTGTGTCCTTTATTTGCTTATTTTTTCGCCTGTGCTCCAAAGCAGAAATGACCTCTTTTTAGCCCACTGTGGCAACATTGACCAGGTTTGCTAACAGTGTTCTTGGGAAAGCACGATCACACATCCAGCCCCTAAAGCAGATGGACTATCACCGGGATGTCTTTAGAGGGCCAAGAGTGACTCTTCAAATAAAAAGACAAATTTTAACTTCCACCTAGGACAAAGAACAAGAACTGGAGCAGTTGACTAAAGAGCTACGGCAAGTCAACCTCCAGCAGTTTATCCAACAGACGGGGACAAAAGTTACTGTTTTGCCAGCGGAGCCCATTGAAGTAGAGGCCTCACACGCAGATATAGAAAGGGGTAAGGTGTTGAGAATTCTGCTCTCTTTACTTTATTCCCACTGGTTAGCTTTGAAGGAACTACTTGTATTCAGTTAAAATGCTAGCCTACTGTTCAAAGCCTGGGCCACTTAAAAAAAAAAAAAATGGCGTACTTTGTGCTTCTGGGAAAAATCAGTAATACCTAGGTTGTTGATTTACATAGGTGGGCATGTAATCCCCAGATCTTACATCATTTGTTTTAACTGCTTCTTTAAGAAACCTTTTCCGGATGTATGAGCCATTGTCTATTGAGTTTTATTAGCTTCTGTTCCTTATGCCCCTTCTTCCTCTCCTAAGTCTTTATTATTAATTTGTGCTGATATTTAAAAGATGTGTATCATCTGAACAACCAAGAATGAGAGAATGCTCACCTTTTTAAAAAGGTGTTGAAATCACTGAAAACTACTTGTGTCAACAGAGAGGGTCAAGAAGAGTCTTCTCCTCTTATCCCAGGCCCCAAGGGGAGCAAATTCTACAGTTTGCTCTTTGGCTCTTGATGGCAGGAAAAGTTCTAGTTTTTTGTGTTGCTGACTACTTCAGGTTGCTGAGTACACCAAATGGTTTTCTTTGTTTTCTGTGTAGAGGCACCATTCCAGTCCGGGTCCCTGAAGCGGCCTGGTTCATCTCGGCAGCTCCCCAGTAATCTTCGTATTCTGCAGAATCCTATCTCATCTGGTTTCAATCCTGAAGGCATCTATGTATAACATTATCTGTCTTTAGGGGAGAGACCTAATAAAGGTACCAAGGACAGTAAGAATTCCTTCTTTGATTTGTGCCAATGATGAACAGAGGATCTATTTCACAAGCCACCGTCTCTTTTTTCTGTCCTAAATTGCATACCACTCTGTCCTAAATTGCATACCACTGTGCACTGATGCTAAAGAACAAAGAAACTGTGTTTTCACACACATCGACAGTGTTGACGTGTTTGTCCAGCAGCTGTAATGCAAAGCCTTCATTTTTATTTGTAGCATTTTGAGAGCGTTAGGAAAGTATTCTGCTGTGTGTATACGTAAATAAAACCATGACTTAAGAGCGAAGAGAAATATGTGACTGACTTAGTTTAATTTATTCCATATAATCGATTAGTGGGTGAATGTTGTTGTTTTCATATTTTTTGTTACTACTTATCCTGTGACTGAGTTATATTCTGAATTGTGTGACTATGACTGTGTGCATGCCACCAGTGTCCATCCGTACCTGCTGGCCTACAGCTCTGCGAGTGCCATAGGGAGCTCCAGCATCTGCCCTAACTCCAGAGGATCCCACTTGTGTTTAGCTTGTGTACCTCTCCTAGCCATTGCCTCATTAGACAAAATAATCCAGGTTTTAGTTTTCATCTGGACTCAGATCTTTTCTTTACAGTATTTCCAGCATATGAATGACCACATACCCAGAAGAGCAATATTTTCACGAGGTAAATTGTAGGTTTAAAAGATTTGCGGTACTTCAGACACTTTAAACAAAAGTGTAGTTGTTAGATAATCTGTCCAAACAGGCATGGGGTTTCCTAATAAATTATGTGTTTTGTTTCTGCCCTGCCTTAATCGTTTTAATCTCATGGATCCTCAGAGTCGCCATAATACATAAGTAAGAGATATCTGGTTGATCTGCTTCAGAAAGGTTACTTTAAGTGATATATTTTTAAAATAACCCACTTTGGTATGTATAGTCTATTGGCGTAAGCACCCATGGGTAAGTCACCACTTACACATAATTTCCTCTGTACTTTATGGATTGTTGCTATTTCTCCAATCACTTAGATAGAAAGTACATTGGAGTTAGGTATTTTTTACAAAGGAAATAAAGTTAAATTCTTTTTTTTATTTTTCGTTTTTGATCTTGGCTTTTACAGGATATGAGTCTCCCAATTGTACCTCAATTTTCTTATTTATTTATAAAACCAAAAATGAGTCGACACCTCCTCTCCCATGAGTAGGGACTTAACTAAGATTCACAAGTAGTATCTGGATGGATGTGGTCAGATACCATTTTGCCATTTTTACATTCCCTCTGATCAAAATTTGGTACAACATAAGTAAGACCTTAACCTGAAATTTAAAGTAGTTTTTAATTCTGAGGAAACTATATTCTCTGTATTACTTACATGCAACAAAGTAAAAGTGGATTAGTATATTAATGCCATGGTAACAATAAAAAGATGTAAGTTATATCTTATGCATGAGGGCAACTTTGGATGTTTTAACACATTTGACTTATTTAAGTGAATGCTGAGAATGCTGCATTTAGGTTTCCAATGAAAAATTTTAAGAATGGCTATGAAAATATATAGAAGCTTCTAGAAAACTGAAGGTAATAATGCAGAGTTGCCTTTTCTAGTCCAGCTAAATGGCAGACCTCAACTAAAGGTAGTATTTTCTTTGGGTTCTTGGAGTTATCAAATTGACCTTGCCATGATACTATTTTGCAAATAACTTGAGGAATAATTTATTCTTACCTACATAACCACAACTTATACAGATTTGTTCTCAATTTATAATAGTTATTTCATATCTATATATATTTAAAAATTAGAATTAAAAATAATCAAGATACTTTGTAGATTTTGTGATGGTAATGATTTATGTATGCCCAATATATGCCTTATTTTTAAAGGGTTCCATCCTATACCAAGAGTCATTTTGTTATTGTTGTTCAGAGACATTAAGATCTTATTCACAAAGAAAAACATTTTTATAAATCGATCACATTCTATTTAAATCAAAATGTTAAACTGAAGATATATTAAACATTGCAGTTTTTAATTGCAAAGATGCCTTGGTATGCCATCAAAAACACAAAGTCAGTGTCCAACTTAATTGTTGTAAATTATTATCAACATTAATCTAATAACTTTAAGACTGGCAGCATTGTGACAACTTCCTCTGAATTTCCAAATGCCAAATAATCTTTATGGACCTAATTACAGATAGAAATACTGTTTCCTAGAGGCGAAAAATATACAAATGTGAATTTGATAAATATATTGAGCAGCTATACTTTTTAACCAGTTACATTACTTCTGAAAGAACATCTCTAAGAAATATTTTCTAAGTCTTTTTAAAATAGAAGAAAGAAAACTCATTTCCCTCAGAACATCTTAAAAATAATATAGTCTATTCGTATTGTGAACACAGAAGACTTAGATTAAGTGCCACATCTTTTGGATACATTTCAGGGCCGGGGGGGGGGCAGGGCAAGAACAGTAGGCAATGATATATAAAAATACCAAATATAAAATTTTGCATCTGGGGGAATATTCAGGTTCTAAATACTAAACTAGATTAAAGGGTTTTTTAATTGTTGTTGTTATTATTATTATTATTCTGCAAGTTGTTTCATTATAATTTCCTTTAAGTATTAACTACATTAGAAGAGGATTTTTTTTTTTTTTCTTACCAAGGAATGATTTGAAATAGCATTGTGTCTAGCATCCTCAGAGAATAATCCATAGTGGGTTTCCTCAGTTTTTTTTTTTTTCTATGAGCTTTTTTTTTTTTTTAATGAGCTGTTTTGATTTATTAGCATGATTTTTGTCCTGGTGCACAGGGAATTTATATGTGGGACTTCGGTTGGTATTAATAGGAATTACCCATTTAAGTCCCTCAGTCATTCCTGAAGTAATCATCAATTCCCATAGTTCAAATTAATCACAAACTTGAGCTAAAACAGCAAAAATACAGAATTTATGGTGTGAAATGTGAGTATTAATAGTGTTTAAGAAAAACAAAGAACTTGCTTCCAGAGCATAAATAAATTTTGTATCTGCATTAAAAGGACATTTTCTTTGTGAATAAGAGAAAAATGATCTTTCGAGTAAAGAAACTACATTTAAAGCCATTTCTGTGAACATCTCTCCAAGTTAGAACTATAATAACAGATTGAGGAAATGATATGGAAAAGGCAAAAACTCTTGATTTCAGGTGTGCAAAGGATGTGGGCAGATGGGCATTTCCCTGTGTGCATTGCCTTTGAAAAATTGGGCCTTAATTTATATGTAGATAACAATGCTGTGTTCCCATCCCTCTTCTACCTAAAGTTGTCTTTATTAATCTCTATTGTATTAAAATTTAGCTCATAAGTATTACTTTTATATTATGTCCATTTTTTTGCATGTTTATACTATTTGCTACAGTATTTTTAGTTTTGGGTGAAGGCCATCAGCTGTGTGGAGGAGACAAAACAATCACTATTTATTCAGTATTGCTGCTTTACATTTCCAGAATAAGCTTTCGATGCCCAGACACTTGACTGCTTGAAAGCTGCAGGAGCTCTATTCCAATGCATTTTATATATTTTTAGAAACCAAATAAATGCAGATAACTATTTAGTATACTAATTATATTAAACCAGCAGAAATATAAAGGCAATAAAGTATATACATATATATATGGGGGGAGGGAAAGATTAAAAAATAGGTTTACAGCCAGACATGGTGATAGCCCTAAATATATTTCCAATCTTTCTTTATTGACCCAACGAGGATTTGAGTTGCTGCAGCTTTAAACAGAAAATTGCCATGTTCACTACTGTGGACACATAAATATGCTTTTAGTACTGCTTTGCTTATGTACCAATAAAATATCTGTAATATGTATTATATGTAATTATCCTTTTTTCGACTTTCATTTCAAAATGTATATTTTCTGATTATTATCATGAGCTGTAAAACAAAGGATCGATATCTGATATTCTCCCAAGTAATAAATTTTCAGGATTCATTGGGACTTTGTAGTTGCTGGTTTGTTTTTAATGTGTTTAATATTTTAAAAATCTGTTTATTTTCTTTAAAAGATGCCAAAGAGAAAAGGTCTGCATATCAGTGATATAAAATTATATTTCTTTAAAAGTAATGTTAATTATTATAACTTAAGAATTATCTATTGCTAAGAAAAAAAGGTAGCTGTTTTGGGGCACCTGGTTGGCTTAGTCAGTTAAGCGTCCGACTTGATTTCTGCTCAGGTCATGATCTCAGGGTCATGAGATGGAGCCTGGCCACAGGCTCTGTGCTGGGTGTGGGCTTGCTTAAGATTCTCTCTCTCCCACTCTCTTCCCCTTCCCCGTACCACACACACGTGCTCTCTCTCACTTTCTCTCTCAAATATTTTTTTAAAAAGAAGCTGTTTTATCCAAGTGAAACGGAATCAAGAAATTAATGCCTCCCTTTTATTTCAAAAGCAGAAGGAAACATTGTGTCCTAATGAACCTCTATATTCTCAGGTTTCTTTAAAACCACAAGTGAGGGGGAACAATTCAGGTCCTACTAAGTGCCAGGTACAATGGGAGATACACTCACTTATCTAGGGAACTTCTTCCTAATCATACAACTTAGTAAGTAGCTTACAGAGCCCTTGAATATAGACCTTCCAGATACGAAATACTTACCGATATTCCATGATAAACGGCATAAGCTTTACAATGCCTAGTTTCTGTTTTTAATGTGGAAGTAATGTGAAAGTACATAAATTATCATTTTCATATTTTGTGCAAGTTAGATCTTGATTAGGAAATCAAACATGAATAACAGTGTTATAAAAACAATGATAAATTATTAACAAAATTAGGCAAAATATAAGTTATTCTTTGTCTGAGTTTGGGGGGACTTTTAAAATTTTAATTATCCTGTCCTCCTCTAAAGCATTTTTTTACTTAGTGGCAGAGCAAGAAATAAACTTCTGTTTACTTGACTCTTCACCTGCCACCCATGTCACATATTTGTGCTGTGTCTTAGGAAGGGCCTCCCTAAGGCCTTTAAGAAGGGCCAGCAGAGTCCTATAAAACAGGCACAAACTTGCAGGACACGTTCACTGCTTTCTGTAGACATTGAGTGAGCCTTTACTG